GGGCGGGGAGGGGTGGCCGTGGGGGAGACACCAGCCCCAGGGCAGAGGGCAGGGGGCTGGGCTCTGCGGGGGCTCACTGAGCGTCCTTGGGGCGGCTTTCACAGAGGAGGGGCAACTGCAGCATTTTCTTCTCTAAAGTGATGGGTTGGCTTCTTTTCTTTTTTTTCCCAAAACTCTTTTGAAATTTTTCAAAATATGACCTTTACACTTTCAGCATGGAGGCCTATGAGGGTTTTTTGGGGTAACAGCTTTGAGATACAGTTTGTGCACCATCCAGTTCGACCCACCCATCTTAAAATGTGTGATCCTATGGCTGTTGCGTAGTCACAGCTGTGCCACCATCACCACAATCCATTTTAGAGTGTTTCATCCCCCCAACAGGAAACCTGTCCCATCAGCGGTCACCTCCCGATCCCCACATTCCCCGGCTCTCGTTAATCTATGTCCTGTGCCTGCATTTGCCTGTTCCGGGCGTTTCCTGTGGTTAGAGTCGGGCGCTGTGCGGCCTCTCATGACCGGCTGCTTCCACCCAGCACGAGGTTGGCAGGGTCCATCCCAACCACGGACGGGTCCGCTGATTAGCACTCACTAGGTTCCAATCCTTTGCCTTTCTGCACAATGTAAACCTTATACACGACCCCCCTTCTCGTGCACACGCCACGTGCACACATACGCATTTGCACAAGTATTTTTTTATTATGTAGAATAAACTCCTAGATACGAAATAGCTTGGTAAAGGGCCGTGCATTTGAAATTTTGATGGATGTAACCAAATTTCCCTCCATCCACGTTGTAGAAATCTGTCCCCCAAATCACAGGCTGTGTTTGAACCAGCTTGGAGCTGCACGGTGGTGACGTTTGCACAACGCACGTGTGCCTAATGCCACTGACTGTACCCTGAAAGCGGGTAAATTGGTAAATTTTATGTTCTGTATATTTTTATTATTAACTAGTAACGGGATTAAACCACCAAGGGGTAAAGAGAACCCCAACGGATACAGGAAGAACCAGCCCAGGGAGCAGCCAGTCCCTCTATGGCCCAAGCAGGACACCGAGGAAATTTCCCGGCCTGGGGCGAGGGGAGTAAATGTCACTGAGTCCGTGGCGTGCTGGCCTCGGTCCTCGCAGCAGGCGGCGGAGAGGAGCCTATGAAAGCCGGGCAGAGAAACCACATGCCCCGCGGGATTCGTCCCGCGCCCTCTACTGACAGAGCGTGAAATTGCACCGGCTGGCAAAGGGGGATGTGTGCGTGGGCCCAGCCCCGCATCACGGCACAGGGCCAGGAAGAGTGGATCTGGACCGAGAGGCAGTGTGCTGAGAGCTGGCACCGGGTGGTTGTTACAATCCAAGGCAATATAGTACTAATAATAGGTGATTGTTAACATTTATTATTCTTACTATTTCTGGCCTGACTTGCCTGTTGTCTCCTGGAATCCACACCTGTGAACTGGGTCATTGATGAGGTCCCATCCTCCTAGATGTCATTTATGGCTCCCCCAAAAATCAGGGGGTTACTCCCAAGAAGGGGCAGGGAAAACAGCTGAGATTTTTTTTCTTTTAATGAATGTTTATTTTTAGAGAGAAAGGGAGAGGGAGAGGGAGAGGGAGAGGGAGAGGGAGAGGGAGAGGGAGAGAGAGAAACATCCAATGGTCGCCTCCTCCACGCCCCCTACCAGGGATCAAGCCCCCAACCTGGGCATGTGCCCCGACTAGGAATTGAACCGGCAACCTTTCGGTGCACAGGACGAAGCTCCAGCTGAGCCACACCACCCATGGCAAGAGCTGGGATTTTTAGGTCAGACACCTGGATTCAATTCCAGCTTCCCCTACGTATTAGAGAGTCCTTCAGCCCTGCTACATTAGCCTCAGACTCTCAGAGGCTGGAGCCAATAGAAGTTGATTTCTCATGCGGTAAACACCAACCTGTGTAGGATGCAGGGAGGGATGTGTGTGTGTGGTGGGGGTGGGGGGTCCAGCAGCCTTGGGCAGCCTGGCTCTTTCGGGCTGTGGCTCTGCCATCCACGGGAGCCTCAGTTCCCACTGGCATCTCTGCCTCCAGCCAGCAGACAGGGGAGCGAGAGAGTGGGGGTCACGTGGGAGGTGTTTATGGGCCAGGCCTGGAACTGGCTGTGCATCATCGCTGCCACCTGCGCGTCCTTGGCCGGGGCTCAGTCACATGGCCCCACGCAGCTGCAGAGGAGGCTGTGCAGTCCCGTCATATTCCCCGTAGGACAATGAAGCGGGGTTGGGTGGACAGCTAGAAAGTCTCCGCCACGCACCGCTTCCTAGCTTTGCCACCTGGGCCAGGGACCTTGTTTCTTTGAGCCTCAGTTTCCTGCTCTAAAAATACAGAACAACCAACTCCACCTTTTCCATGGTCGTGAGGAATCCATGCAATAAAATATGTAGCCATTTAAACGAAGCCATTGCAAATCCCATCCTATCCCCCTCTTCACCCCTCCCCACCTCCGATTCATTCGCCTAACTTCTCCCGCCAGGCACCAATTGGATGATCGAGATCCTCAGCTTAATCATAAAGGACGGAGACCCCTCCTGGATCCGCTCGGTGCCCATCTGGAAGCGGGCGCCCTGGTGTGAGACCATCATGGGTGCCTTCAGCCTCTCGGACCTGTCCAGCCCCCGCCTCATGAGTTCCCACCTCCCCATCCAGCTCTTCACAAAGGCCTTCTTCAACTCCAAGGCCAAGGTGCAGGAGGAAGGAGGGGTGGGAGGCGGGGAGAGAGGGCATAACTCACTGATGAATTCAGCACGTATTTACTGAGCGCCTACTATGTCCTGGCCCTGATCTAGAGCAGTAGTAAAAAAACACAACGTGAGCCCACAGTCTAAAGGGGAACGGGCAGAGGATAGATGGAATAAATAAGGAAAATACAAAATGTGTCCAAGATGAAAAATTCACATCGTGAAGGAGGAGAGGGTGAGGGTTTAGAGTTAGGGGTGGGTCAACGGAGTCCCCAGTGAGAATGTCCCTTTTGAGTTAAGACCTGGGAGGTGAAGGAAGAAGCCAGGAGGGTGTCTGGGGGAAGAAAATTCCAGGCAGAGGGAAGAGTAGGTGCAAAGGCCCTGGGGTGGGTGTGATGCGCCTGAAGACTAGCAAGAAGGCCCGTGTGGCCCCAGCCAAGTGCGCCGGGGAGAGAGCCTTGGAAATGAGGTCAGGGAGGTAATGTGGCCAAAATGTGCAGGGCCCTGTGGGCAGTGGAGCCAACGTAGGTTTTCACGGGCGCCCTCTGGTGGTGAGGTGGGGAACAGCCCGTCGCCCCGAGATCAGAAGCGGGGTGAGAGTCCAGGTGGGAGGTGCCGCTGGAGGCGACCAGGGTGGTGGCCGTGGAGGTGAAGAAAAAGGGCTGTATTTCAAAGGTCGAAGCAGAACGATTTGCTGACACATTGGATGTGGGTGTGAGAGAAACAGATGAGTCTCCAGGGCAGTCCTGTGGCTTCAGGAAGTGGGAGTAGGGGACTGCGATGGGGAGGCAGGGAGGAGGTTGGGGGGCAGAGAACCGGGGCTCTGCTGTGGCCCATCGATGTCCAGGCGGAGGCTGCCAGTGGGCAGTGAGACAGCTGAGTCTGAACTTGACAGGCGAGATCTGGGCTGGAAAGGAGTATTTGCAATTTGTAGATAGATAAACAATGAGGGCTTGAAGCCAGGAGGCTGGTGGGCTCACCAAGGCAGTGAGTGTAGACAGAGGCAATCCAGGGGTCCCCAAGACCACCCTCAGGCTCCAGATTCACTAGAAGGGCTCAGGACTCAGCAGCACTGTTAGACTCACAGTTGCTGTCAGTACAGTGAGACGATGGCGATTAAACTCAGCACAGGAGGAGGCCCGTGGGGCAAGCAGACCCGGCTCCCGCTCCCATCGCCTCCCCCAGTAGACTCCCGGGGCGGCACTTACCCCAGCAATGCCGCGGGGCAGCAGGCGCAGCGTGGCCCCCAGGGCTGCTCACCCGAGCCTCGGGGTCCAGGGTTTTGGTTGGAGGTTGGTCACGTGTACATGGCTGACCACCATGTGGCTGTCCTTGGTCTTGGGGAAGGAGACAGTTGACAGGGAAGGACATGTCTGATGGGACTGGAGGGGGGTTGGTTATAGAATATAAACCTGGTGAATAGGTTGGAGCCAGGTAATCGGGGCCTCAAATGCCAGGCCTAGGGTCAGAAAAAGGGGCTCACAGCACACAGCCTCAAGGGCTGGGGTCCTGGCCGTGTCCGACACCTTCTCCCCTCTCCCCAACACCCACATACAGGTGATTTACATGGGCCGGAACCCCCGGGATGTGGCGGTGTCGCTCTATCATTACTCCAAGATCGCCGGGCAGTTGAAGGACCCCGGCACACCCGACCAGTTCCTACAGAACTTCCTCAAGGGCGAAGGTGAGGACGGGGCTGGGGCTGGGGAGCCCCTTGAGGCCCAGGCGGGAAGAGGGACAGAGGAGGGTGAGGAGAGAGGCAGAGATACAGGGCGTTATAAAGAGTGATGGAGGCAGAGAGGAGACCAAGAGAAAGTGAGAGACAGAAACAAGCGCAGAAGGAGATGGGGACAGAGAGAGACAGGGAGACAGAGGGACATGGGGCACCCGATGTGGTGGGCGGGAGGGAGGCATCCAGCTCCGAGGGGCCAGGCCTGGGGCCACGTGGAGCTAGTCAGGCCCCCTGAGCCCCAGCGGTGGCTGTTGCCTGGCCCTCACCCCTCGGCCCCTCTGCCCGCAGTGCAGTTCGGCTCCTGGTTCGACCACATTAAAGGCTGGATTCGGATGCAGGGCAAAGAGAACTTCCTGTTTATCACCTACGAGGAGCTGCAGGAGGTGATTCCCACCCCCCAC